GGAGAGGGAGAAGCAGGCTTCCCGCCGAGCAGGGAGCCCGATGCAGGACTCGATCCCAGGACCCTGGGATCATGACCTGAGCCGAAGGCAGACGCCCAATGACTGAGCCACCCAGGCGCCCTGTATTTTTTAAAAAGAACCTAATTATTAAATGAAGAACTAAAAAACTAAAAATGTACACAGTTGTCATCTATTAAAAGCTGATAGTGGCAAATATAGTTTTTTAGGGCTACAGTAATTTTTATTTAAACAACAAAGAAATAAGTAATTGTTGTAAACTAACATTAATTTTTTGGAAAATCTGCATAATCTTCACTGAAATAATATTTTGGACAAGTAACGCATACATTGTGTGGTTGACTGAAAAAACACAAAAGGGTAAAATGTGAATTATCCCTACCCCGACCCTACCCAGTCCCTCTGTCCTCCGCAGAGGTAACCAGTGCTGTCAATTACTCATATAGCTTTCCAGAAGTAATCTACAAATAAATGAGCATGGAGCACATGTATATATCTTTTTAAATACACAAAGAAGGAATACACAGTATACAGGATTCTGCTTGCAACTTTTTTTCATTTTAATTATTCTAAGAATATCACTTTCCTGAGCTTTTAAAAAACTGAGTTTTAAACCCTATGCACTAACATGATAATGGCATAGTCCCAAAAAAGCAATAAAAGAGCAAACTGCTGGTGAAATGAATCTTGGGGATAAAAGATGACATCTCAAACAAAGATTATGGGAAGACTCGAGAAATAATCTTTGTCATTTTGTGTTTTCCAGCACCAAGTGATAAGACACAGCAGGTGTTTAATAGATGTTTGTTCAATGAAACAATAGATATGAATATAACATATACATATAAAGAATGTTATAAAAATGTTTAATGATTGGGAATATGCTCATGCTATGCTATTAAGTCAAAAAAACCTTCACAACTGGTATGTAAAAAGCTCAATTATAAGTGCTAAAATATCCAATCTGGTGGCCTGGTAAATAGTAAATGAACTGTTCTACAAACATGGTATGATCACAGACGATATACCAATATACATTCAACACACTAAAAATTTCTTGATACAGAGAGTCAGTGGGCAAGTTTTGAAAGCATGTGTATACAAAGGTGATGAAGCAAACAATGAATTTTTTTTTTAAATGAAGAATTTTTTTTAAAAAAGACCACTGGACTATTTCTAATTGGTGTTACAAATCCAAAAATGCAAATGCTTTGCAATTATAGAGCAGGATGACCACTCTCTTCAACAAATTATGAGCTGTCAAAGTTTTCAAAAGTATTACATTCTGACGATCCAAGTGCAAGAACAACCAGGAGTAGTGATAAGGAAGAGCCTATCAGGGATGTAGCTGAAACCTGGAATCAGATTCACTCATAACAGTTGATGAGTAGTTATTTGAGTCCAAGAACACTACCCATTTCAGGGAGGCGTATGGGGGTGGGGGGGGGAGGATATACCTTCAAACTAGGAAAATATGGAATACAAATTTGGGTTTGCTATGTTTGAATTCTTATTGCTATTTCTAAAAATGTTTTTCACTATCCTTTCAA